AATCGAATACTATTAATAATTCTTCTATTATTGCAAACATTATATTTAAATTGTAATTGATAAAAGTTTGACAATTTAAAACGAAATTATTAATACTAACAATATTAATTATGATTAATAATATCGGTATAAATAAATAGAAGTGTTAATTGTATATCTTCAACGACCTGCAGGCTTCTGTCTGATCTATTGCAAGCATCTTGTCGAATGTATGAGTAGTGTTATAGATTTCGCAAGTACAAGGCGATTATATCGAGAAAGTCGGACAATAAAACGGTGAATAAATTTAATTGAAAATTTGACGATGCCGTAAAACGGTGAAACGCTGCTTGGCTTTAAACTATAGCTTGCCGTTGTGTACGTGTGGAGCACAAAAGAGATCGCAACTTTTAAGGATCACATAGTATAAAGGCCGGGGTAATTTCTGGGATAGAATATCTTTCGACGCTTTTACGATCTATGAAATGGCGCCCTTAAAGTGGGTATCCGAATGCTCGTGGATTATTCTCGGGGAACTGTAAAGCAGAAATGGTACACGTTCGAAATAAACTGAAGCTCTCAATTGTGAGCATTCCACGCTGAAGGGCTGATACTGTCATTTCGCTCAACCTACAGGGTTTGAACGGTGCAAACGCGCTAAGGAAGATCAGAGATGCTCATATCAAGTTCTAAATGTTTTTCAATATTTATTCTTCATATATCAATCAACTTGGAATAATACATAAATAATTAGAATTAATCTAATAATTAGAGAATATAAAATAATACAACAATTGGAGGGTATAAAATAATACAATAATTGTATTACTAAGCTCACGAAGCACTGGTCGTAACACGTAGTCTATGCTAATAACTGTAGATGTTTATGCATTTATGGGAATTTTAAACAATTTAAAGGAAGTACACAGCATGCAGTAATGGAAACCTCTATATAAACTAGAATTTAGATAACGAATATTTATATGCATTTCGTTTGTTTAATGTTGTTAAACAATATATAGAATATTGAAATAATATACAGAATATAGAATTTGCATGAACATCCGCAGTCTAGTTATTACCATAGACTTGTTAGTCTTAACCGGTACTTCGTGAACTTAGTTAGTAATACAATTATTGCTTATTTTATATCCTATGTACATATTTGTATTATTTTGTATCCTCCAATTGTTAACTAATTACACAGGTTCACCCTGTACGAATTATTCGTAAATCTCGTTTATTTAAAAATGAAAAGACGAATCGATTGCGATTGCAGAATGGGAATGGGCGTCCACGCAGCTGGGACGGCGGCAGGCTGGGGCCAGGGGTTGCCCGGAGGACCGCAGTTACCGCCGCACCACGCCACGACGGTCACGGCACCCCCAGGGGTGCAAGCCGCGCCACCACCACCACCGCCCCCGGCGCAAATGATGGCCTACCCGATGCAACAGTTCCAGGTAGACATTACTTCCAATTCTGTTTCCCCTGTTTCCACCTGTACGTGTATCACCCGTTGCGTTCGATGTGCATACAGCCGTGAGGCGTGAAATCTGGAGCGTGCTAATTTCAAAGACGATTCCCATAGAACCTTCTTAGTTTCCAAATATTATTATAAGAGGGTGAGTCGGAAATTATTGTTGTCGATGAGGTGAAGAAAGAAAATGGTTTCTGATACTAAGAGCTAAAAACGAATATTTATCTAACCCGCAAGTAATGCACGCTGCAGTAGAAGACTCAGGACGAAAGAGCCGGAAACTTACCATAAACTGTAACGGAAGTTACATTAAACGGAATGTCTACGTAATAAAAACGAAATGATACTGTATAAACACGTCAGGATTAAAAATAACTATACTAACAATTGAGCCATTTACTTTGAAACTGGCCTAAGTTTATTTTCCAAAAAAAATCATTCAAAAAACCGTCTGTTATTTGGGTCCAAGCAAGATCCGCTGTCTGGTGTCTACCTGGGGCTGGTGTTTAGAAAATGGGATTTAAAGAACGTAAATTGAAGGCATTACAACAGGGCGGCAGATAGAAGCATTTGAAAGAATGAAGCATTTTTAAACATTGTCAACAGTGGCGTGTGGCGCATAGAAGCGCATTGTCCAAGCAAGAACGGAATCCCCTTGAATGTTAGTCCTCTGCGAAGTACATATGATTTTTAACTCACCCTAACGTGATGTAAATGTTTTTTATCTAATCGAGTAAACTCTGAATTTATAATTGACAACAGACGTCGTCTTAAAATTAAAACGTTCCAAATTTTCGAGAAACAGCGCATATGCCCGTATCTCGCTGTACACCTTGTTTGCACTGTCATTTACTTTGGTTGGAAAATTCATTCGTTGAAAAATCACGCAAGCATGCATTGCAATATCTCATTGTATACAATCGTATTCACAATTCTTTACATATTGAAGAATTGTTTAAGGAGAAAAACAAACGGTTTTAATATCACTTTCTTATTTCGGATTCCATTTTCTGTTAAGTCGACAAGGGAAATCGTCGATAGACTTGATAAAATATTTGTAAAATAATTAGA